TAATCATATAAATAATATATTAAATTATATAAAAAATAAAATAAAATAATTATTTTAAAATCATTTCTCCTTAGCTCCTGTTAATCATGAACTGTCACTTCACTCTTCATCGTCATCAGTGACATATCAAAATTTTGGACTAATTGTCATATGTTCTGACCCCGCGTCAATTATCAACTGTCAATTGTCAGTTGTTTTTACTCCAACTTTTCATGTCGTGTCACTAGGCCTGGTAAAAATCGGCTTGAACTATGAACTCCACTTAAAACTCACTCATAAAAATGGATTAGGGCCTATTTTTAACCTGTAATTTATTGGTGACTCGTAAATTTGACTCAAACGGGTCATAGACAAGTTAACTCACGGTTAACAGGTTGACTTGTTTAATTTTTTTTTTGAAAAATAAAATTATTTTTAAATTTATTAATTATAAACTTTATTTATTGTTAATAATAATAGTAACCGTTCTTATTTATCATTATTAATAAAAAATATTTCTTTATTAACCAATTGAGAATTAACCCTATTTATTCCTAATCCTTATTATGCTAGGCCATTATTCCAAATTCACGCCTCCCCAGTCCCCATTCAGTCTCCACTCTCCACTTCATCGACTCACCGATTCACCTCCCTCCTTAATCTTAATTTGCAGAAGTCTCTCATCTTCATTTTTCCATCGAGTCAGTAAAAAATTCTTAGTCCCAATGTCCACTCCACCACGCCAAACTTTACATCTTCGCGTTTCAATCCTTCGTATCCCTCATTTATTTCAATCACTTCACCAGTCACTTGTTTTAATGCTTTTTCTCCCTTTAAACATTCATTCACCTCTCTTGTTCACTCAAGTCAATTCCTTTCATATTCGAGGTATAGGTCTTTCAGTATTTTTTTTTTTCACATTTTGGATGTTTTTATATTCAATTTTCAGTTTTTATATTTGATTCTATTTAACTTGATTTTATTTGAAATTTTATTTTATTTTTATCTAAACTTGGATTTTATTTTATTGAATTTTATCCATTTTCTATTGATTCTATTCCAGTTGCTTATTGTTTTTTATTCTATTTTGTGATTT